TGGCATAAAATCATTTGCTTGACATAACAGCTGTAAACATTCAGCTTTTGTGTCACAAATTCAGCATTTGGATAAAAATGTAAAGACATACTTAGGGTTGACTTATTTATACTATGTGTAAAATGCTAATCATTGATACGTTCAATTCTTCTGTAAGAGGATGACAGATTAATTAGATATACATAGTAAAATACTAGGATGTTCAAATTATTTTTTAAAGCAATCTTTATAATCTTCGATTTGTTTTAGAGCAATATAATTTGTTTTAACTAACAGCTGGTTAAATATAAACTATGGAACTATGAGGTTATTTTATTTACTCTTATTTTGTCATTGATTATAGGAAATAAGTAAGATTAGTAGAGATAATTAGACCACAGTTTTAACCAAAATTAATTAAACCACAGTACAAATCGAGGCTCTGTACACGAGTCTTAATAAAAAAGGATAAATTCAAATTATTTTACTGCTACACTTTTCAAGGAAAAAAATTAGAAAAATAACAATGTTTACACGTTTTAATTCTTCACGGTAGCTTTTTGTTTACAATTAATGTTTGTCTGCTTTAACTTTGTTTGGATTAGGCCCGGAAATATTGATGTCATAAAAAAAGATCAAGAATAATCAGGAATAAATAAATAAATAAAAACGTCTTTATTAGCCAGCGTTTCTCTGATACATGTCAGTTTTTCAGAACAACTTTTGTCATTAACCTATTGCACTTACAACTAAACATTCATATCTTTTAAAAACTTTTTAATCTTAATCTTAAAGGTATTGTTGGATGCAACGGTTTTTAGGCTCTCGGGTAGTCCGTTGTACAATGTGGGTCCGAAATATGAGAAACTTTTCCTTCCTAATTCCAAGGTGACCCTTGGAAAGTGAAGCCTCCCACCATGACGTGTCCTACGTTGTATGACCTCATCCCGGACAGAAAGCCTCTCGCAAAGATAGTCGGGCTCACGGAGAGTCAGTACCCTGTGAGTCATGCAGCACGTCAAAAACCTGCACATGGCTTCCATGGGCAACATCCCGGCTGCTTCACGGAAAGGGGAAACATGATCAAATTTTTTAAGGCAGAATACAAATCTGATTGCTGAGCTTTGAATTCGCTGTATTCTGCACATGTCTTCCTTAGTGATACTATTGCCATATGCAGGGAAGCAGTAGTAGACTACTGACAATATCAGTGACTGCATGAGTTGAAGCTTTGCAGCCTCAGGCAGCATACCTCTGAACCTGTACAGACCTCTCAGTCTTCCTATTGCTCGTTGGGAGACATGCGTGATGTGATCTTTAAAATTCAAATTTCTGTCAATAATGACGCCAAGAGTTTTGGCTTTGTCACAGACTGCCAGACTCCTGCCATCAAGATTGATGCTCAAGCCATTATCTCTCAGTGTCTGTACTAGGTTCACAGGGGCAGTATGAAGTACAGTGCACTTGTCTGGATTTAGCCTAAGCCCATTAATGCTAGACCATTTGGAGATGTTCTCCAGATCAGTGTTGATCTTGTCGATGGCCTCACTCATGTAACCAGGCTCATAAGACAAGTGCAACTGGGAATCATCTGCATACAAGTGTGCAGTACAATGTTTTACACAGCTGGGAAAGTCAGCTGTGTAAAGCGTGTAAAGTACAGGCCCCAAACAGCTACCTTGAGGAACGCCCCGTTTTTTGACGAGGGGATACGATGTTTCACTACCCAATCTGGTAACCTGCATTCGGTCGATAAGGTAAGAGCGAATCCAGGTAGTGATTCTATCACTAAAACCCATATATTTCATTTTTGCAATCAGCATACTATGGTCCATAGAATCAAATGCTTTGGAGTAATCAAGCATGACAAGTGAGCTATGTTTCCCTTTGTCCTTGGCATCAATCATGTCACAGAATAAATTGGTCAAAGCTGTACATGTGCTGTGGTTTTTTCTAAAACCTGACTGTAGTTTAGGTAGCAGCCTATTGTCATTCATAAATTGGGATATCTGGTCAATCACTATTTTCTCTAATATTTTAGATATTGCTGGAAGTATTGATATTGGTCTAAGATCTTCTACCTTAGTTGGTGCAGCTGTTTTTGGCAATGGCCTGACAATACTTTGCTTCCATGCATTCGGGAATACTCCACTGATGAGTGACTCATTTACAAGATGTGTGATTGCTTCAATAGCAAACGGACTCACAGCTTTTAACATGTCTATTGATATCTCATCACTGCCTACAGCTTTAGACTTTATTTGATTCATCACTACTTTTACAGTTGCTTCGGTGACAGCACTAAATCGACATTCGCTTCTTGTTTCATCTTGTTTATTAGTCATATAAAATTTAATAATTTCTTCATCAGCCTTGATACCAGACCCCATTTTTGTAAAATATTCATTAATGTCATTAGCTTCAAAACCGTCAATAGTTTCTATACAATTGTTCTTATAAACTTCGCAATTCTTTATACATTTCCAGAAATCTTTGCTGTTGTTTGTTGTCGACAGTTTGTTGGTAAAAAACCTTTTTTTCGCATGCCAGACCATTGAATTCAATCTGTTTCTTATTTCCTTATACTTATGCCAATCAGGATCACTTCTTGACTTCCAATATCTATTCCTTAATTTATTTTTTTCCCTCGTCAGTTTCTTAATTATATCATTTCTCCACGGAGCTACTTTCTTGGTTACCCTTTTACACACTATAGGTGCGTGGTTATCATATACTTTTCTAATTTCATTGGTCAATGCATTTTCAATATTATTTACTCCTTGTAAGATCGTTATCTTTTTCCAATCTATTTCAGAAAGTTCTCTTACCGCTTGGTCAACATTGAATTTTGAAAAATCCCTATATCTGATCATCTTTGGTTTCTTTTGTTCTTTTCTTAGGATCAATTCACAAAAAATAAGCTTGTGGTCCGTAATTGACTTCCCTCTGTGATCTAATATGCTAGGTGCATTTATAACGCCGATCCTCTTGACTTCAACCGACCTGTCCACGAATATGTGGTCTAACAAGGTGGCTGAAGTTGCTGTCACCCTCGTAGGCTCGTTTATTAACTGGATTGTATTTGATTCTCTCAAGAGTCGGCATAAATATTTAGAATCACTACTTGTTTTTGACATAAGATCAACGTTTGTGTCACCCAGACAGATCACAGAGTCGACTTCAACTGCTAAGTCAACAAATAGGGAGTGAAACAAAGAATCAAGGTTAGTGTATCGTACATTGGGAGGCCTGTATACTACACACAGACCCAGTCTCTGGCTTTTTAGCCTGAGGACAACAGAAAGTGTTTCTATACCAGGTGGAAGGTTGGCTGGAAAAATATGTTGGTCATACATAATTCCTTCCCTGATGTATAAAGCAATGCCCCCACCGGCTTCCTCCTCCTCAAATAAGCCAGAAATGTGGTGGCGATCAGAGCGCAACAAACTGTATCCTGGTATATTGAAGTTGTCTGAGGGAGTGTACCACGATTTTTTTAGGGAGGGAATCACGATTTTAAATTACCACCACAACCTCAGCCGGGTTTTATACAAAGATAAACAGATGGATGACATAGATTGAACACAACGTCAACATTGACCTAGGATACAGCAATTAGACAAACCATTCTTTTATGAAATAGTGTTTAGTTGTGGTTACGTTTGGGGGTGCCTATATCAGCGCCCCCAAACGTGAAAATTTCACTTTTATTTCAACTATGAATATATTGTAGTTTAAATTAACTAATATGGGAAATTACGATGTACGTTTATTCAATGAGGGTGGGTAATTATCAAGGATAGAACTGATAACGGTATGGATAATAAACATTGAAAATTACGTAATTAGCTTTACTAGCGTGTTTACTTTTTATATTCCTGTTACATGTGACCAGTTCTTTTTTTCAAATGAATGTTATTTGAACCAAACAGCTGTTTCAAAACAAACTGTTATTGTTTTTACCTTTCTTTGTTAACGCTTATTTATTTAGCAATTAATGCAGTGAAATTGATATAAAGGATAGGTGTGACGATTAGTTTTGATGTTAGGACACCAAAGTTAAATTATGTGTACTGTGAATTGTATTGGATACTATCGTTTTATTTTAGGTCGTTTCTATTCAGACCTACTGGAAATTGTGTATAGTAGTTGTATTGTGGTGATAATAATTATGGAAGAGGCAGGTATGCTATGAAAGGTGGTATCGTTGACTAGGTCTATACATTTCTCAATTGACTATTACTCTCTCTACTGTAGGCTACTTATAATCAGTGTGCGAATCGGCTGCAAATCTCACTTCAACGCTTTTCACATCGTAAAAATTGCGGAATTTTGCTGTTTTATTGTAAAATTATCGGATTTAAAATACATATCGTATAGGCCTATGATGGCATAAAAACATATTTGGTCACACAACATTTGTTTACAAGATGATTTTTCACATTAAAACTGCAAGAAACTTTGTCTTTATATGTGTAAACTAGCTGATCTGAATTGTACACGGTTTTAACTGACTACTGAATTCCCGTACGTAGGACGGGCTAACACTTCGTTAACATTTAAAGAGAAATACATGTTACTACTTTCTGTTACACCAAACCTAAGTGCTCTGCTCATAAAACTAAATTTTTAATATAACTGTTTTAAGGAAATATTTGAGTGGAAATCCAACAAGGCGGAAATTCACTTAGTCTGCAAGTTTTCTGTGGCTAGTAGAGTAAGCTCGACCTATATGTTTTTGTTAAGATTTAATAGAGAGTATACCCACTTTTAATTCATTTAACTCTGTACAACCACATAACTTTGTATGGAATAATATTTAATAAAAATTATCTAGCATCATTATGTAAAACTTTGTAGGCAATTCAATGGATGACCGCAAAAGTATGGTAAGCGCATATCTCCGTTTAAAATTACGATTGATATGCTAACCAGCTAATCACAATAAATATGGCAAACATTAATTAGAGTATAACTGTTTAGTAAAAATCTTTGTTTGACTAAATAATTGTTTTTCACAGGTCGCAATAAGAAAAAGAAAGGAGGAGGCAAGATGAAAGGGATGAAGAAGATGATGATGATGGGCTGTATGATGATGATGGGGAAGGCAGCCATGCTGGGCCCTCTGATCATGGGCATCAGCAGTCTGGCAGCCATCAAGGCTCTCATTTTCTCTACAATGGCACTGACCATCTCAAAGATTATGATCCTGAAGAAGCTGAAGATGATGATGAGCAAGGGAGGATCTTCAGGGTGGTCGTCGTCAGGCAGTGGGGGAGGGGGAGGCTGGCCGTCCTCGGGTAGTGGTGGTGGGGGAGGCTGGTCTTCAGGTGGGGGTGGTGGGGGAGGGGGTTGGTCCTCAGGTGGGGGTGGCGATCGCAGCTTTGACACTCATGGTATAGTCTATGGAGGCTACAGATGACCTCACAGTTCCAACATTCAAGTCTGTGTTATTAGATTAGGAAACTCTGTTGTTAGATTATTTATTTATTTATTGCGAATCAAAATGTGTTTAATAAACTGTTGAATTTTAAAGTCTTGTCATACATTTTCAGGCCCACTTGATTATCAAGTGAATAAGTCATTGTATAACTATGGTAAGATTAGCAGTTTTCCTATACATTCTCTCTAAACCCTAGGAAAGCCTAAAAGGTAGGTTAAAACGGATACATACACCCTAGTTTTATTACCTTTATTATTTTATAATCATATTTATTTATTATTCTTTCTTTCTATCAATCGCCAAACTCTGCTAGTCCTCTTGTGTCATTTGTTGGTAAATCGTATATAATCGTATTTCATTATATTAGATACTGTAAATCAGATCTGTTGGCCTTACAACTAATTTTACTTCAACTTACTGTATATACATAAATGAATCTGAATGGATGGTGTTTTGGCCTCTGGCCCCAGGTCCACGTCTTACCATGAAAGCTATGGCAATATTGGTAATAAATAGCTTATTCCCTATATGGAAAATTCTATAATACCAGTGCCCTCCCTACCCTAATTGTAGTCCCGGCCTTGTGAGTTAAAAAATAGAAAACCCCGTGGTCTGTCCCTTGCACCCTTTTCTCCGTCCCATAAATACATTATATCCTCAATGTTCCGGCCTTGATATACCGTTGAGACCAGTAAAATAAGTCATGTGGCAGTTCCGTGCCCGCACTTGCCCGTCTATCAAATATTTGTTAAGAATGCAGAATGTTAAGAATGTTTTATTTGTTTATTAAGAAATGTAGAGGGGTTTGTCCACCGAAGAGAAATTGGTTTTACGCTATTAAACGTAGCAAAACTGAAATCGAAGATAATTTACAGATAAAACCTATAAATTTTATAGTTTTGTAATAGGATAACTAGAGTTCCAAATTAATAATTTGTCTTGATATACATATTTTTCTATTTGTTTATTTATTTTGCATGCTAAAGAACAGAATACAAATTCCATTTACATTGCAGCACTGTCGTAATTCATACACAATAAAGAACATGCTATGAGTTCTAAATTAAATATAGCCTATATTGAAACATTCAAGGGCTACAAATAGTAATAAATATTAATTAGCAAATAACAACAACAATAAATAATAGTAACAATAAATAAGAGTGATTAAGAATAATATAAATAAATAAGACAAGAAGCAAAATATAAGAAACACTATAACTGATGAAAGAGAAAGAAATAAATAACATTAACTATCATGTGAGACTAAAGATTTTTTATAAGAGGCTAATAGGCTCTATAGTTCGGCCGCTTAGAAAACGACCTGCGCGCTAAAGCTGCGTTGTCCAAGGCGCGTCTGTTGCGTCTGACGCAGAGCGATGATCGCCGAGCGATGATCGCTGAGCGTCTATCGCTTAGAGGCCCGTTGTCCAAGAACGCGTCTATTCAGTTCAACAGTTGGTTGCTGATTGTGTTAAAATTTATTTTGCTCTCACTATTAGCGTTAAGAGCCAAGTGTTGAAGATCCTATTCATCGAAGAGATAGAAAACGAGGAAACTCTGGACCTTTAGTGAACCTCGATTGTGTACCCACAGTGTTTTCAAAAGGAGAAGTAAGGAAGGATATTTTTAGAATACTTATCAAAAACCACTTTAATGCAAACAAGAGTCTGTTAAGTGATTTTTTTTACTTTTAATGGAACCAGTTTAAGTTCCGTTAAATCCTTTAAAGTTTAAGTTGTAATAATTTAATTTAACACTAATTTATTATTATTTTGAAATTTTTCTTTACTTAAATACGGATATCTCCTATTCTAAATAACTCCCAATATGTAATCCATAGCTAAAATAAAAGTCAATACTTTGGTTAATTATTTTAGACTATAACTTTGATTTAATTTTGTGTTTTTGTTCGTAGCGGGTCTCTAACTCGTCTGATTTTAATTATCAATAACTCAAATGGAAGCCCTTACATTACTGAATATTTTAAGGTTGAAACGAACTGCAAGCGTTAATAAGAACTGGAGATATTTAAAAAAAAAATTATAAAAGTACGAAACGTCTATAAGAAATGTATGGGGAAGAGTTTTCGTTTGAATATCTTTAAAACGAAAAAAAAAATAAAAACGGATTCCCGCATTGAAATTAGCATGAAAATCTAGTTTTGTAAATGATGTGTCACAAAACTATCATTACATAAAAACAATATGTATATCCAATATGGCGGATCCAAGATGGCGGCCATAAACGTGTTTCCTATCGGAATGAAGTACTAATCACCTAATAAATACTGGTGGTGATCTAAAGTCAATATCTCGAAAATGTGCATAAAAAATGCACGTGGAATCATTTTTTATTATTTTTCCAATGTTGGGAAAAGCCACCATTTTTTATAATGATTTTAAGGGGTTTCCCATAGACCGATTTTTGGCAACCTTTAGTATATCACTCAGCAGACTCAACACTACAAAATAAAACCCTAAAACATTATCTTGCAATCTTTTTAGGTCATATTCTAAATGTCTTTGACTATAGCCATTACATTAAGATACTGTATATTATGGAGTATATGGGAGAACACAGAAACAACAATGCAATAGACGCAATAGACGCTGGCCGTCAGCGATCCCGTCTGCTCCCGGAGCAGTGCCCAGCGTCAGACGCTCAGCGTCTCAAGCGTCAGACGCTAGAGACGCTCCCTTGGACAACGGGCCCATTGAAATCAATGCTTAGCAGTCACTGAGCGTCCATCGCTAGCGTCTATTACTCAGCGTCAGACGCAACAGACGCGTTCTTGGACAACGGGCCTTAATGCTAAACCAATGCTGGAGGAGGTCGCTTTCTAAGCGGCCGACCTATAGTTAAAAATATCAATGATGTTCGATAATGAATTATACAGTCTCATCGATCATTGAGTTGATGGGAGATTGATTAGGCACCTAGGCAAGTCCGTGAGAAGTACGGACTGAACAACGAGGGTCGGCGAACAAGGAACGCTAAGGTGCATTGTCACTGGTGCGGCTGGAACTGCAGTCGTTGGACTACCATCGTTGCACGATTATCGCTCGGCAATAATCGTTGCAGGCATTGTCACTGGTGCGATTGTTGCACAATCGTTCAGTTGCTTCTTGACTGCTACCGAGTTGAAGTAGTGATGGTAATGGATGAGTTTAAAGAAAAGAGTATTCAGTTATTTTTTAGTTGAAGATCTAGAAGCTGAAGAAATTTTGGAAATGATGAGTGTTCCAAAACTTAGCACACATAGTATAGTTACAAAACGAACAGAAGAGGGTTGGCCTATTTCAAAATATAAAGAAGCAATCATTTGGAAGCTGATGAGAGAATTTTTTCAGACTTTCAAAAGTCAGTTTAAGTTTTTGTCTAGTTTGATCAATGAGGATCTTCAGAAGTCTTCAAACTACATTCCCTATCCAATCACAGGAGATGTGAAGTTTGCTCTTACGTTAAGGTAGGATAGTTTATTTATACTCGTTACATTTTCTATTGAGCCAATAAACTATTAGAATGCTACAGTTTTTTTTTTTTAGAAGAAATCATGTTCAGAATATAAATATATTAATTCCCCAGTTGCAGCAAACCTGCGTACTCAGGGAGTTTCCAATGCATTTTTATGTGTGTCTTAATACAACATAAACCACTTACCAAGTATTATAAAAATGCATTAACATTATTAGTGTGGTTGACATGTTTAAACATGAAATTTGCATTTATTTCAATCTTAAGAAATAGCGGGAATTCCCGTCATCAGCACTCAACGTTAACAACTAAGCGATGTATAACATGTTAATTATTCTCCATACGAATAACATTGGGGCTGAGTACACAGGTTTGCTGCAACAAGGATCACAAATGAATGTGTTTTTTATGAAAATATCAACGGATTTAGCATATCTCAGTAAAAAATTGACATAAAAAGCAATAATTCAAAATAATAAATTTTTTCAGCTTTATACAGTGTAGTGCAGTAGAAATAACCGAAAATATAGCTTAAGGTGGAACTAATTGCAACAGAAATTATTCTTGCTGTGAATGGTAGGTAGTATGCTTCTAATCAACATACTAAAAATATACATCCGTACTGTGGCGCAAAATACGTTTTTTGGCCGCCATCTTGAAAAAAAGTGTCAAAATATTAATATTCGTAAAAATAACTTTTTGGGTATTAAATTATAGGAAATTTAATGCTGAAAAATGTTATAATAGTTGTTATAGGCACTATTTAGAAATACGATCGTAGTACAAAATACCCCCGCCACAGCAAACCTGCAGACTAAACGAATTTCCATTTGTCTTAATTGATTTTCAATTAAATCTAGTACTGTAATTCAGTTTTAAAAACTTTGTACAACTAAATCTAGAATTCTACTGGACCGATTTTATTAACTAATGGGTCATTAGAAAGCAATTCGTGTAGATTTTCAAATAATTATGAAAGTTTGATTTTTAAGATTTGCTAGGTGAAACCCGTCAACGTCAACAATTAGCCGAGGTACTCTTGAGGTTGCAAGCAAGATCTTTTGAACTATAAATCGATGATAGATAACTCCATTTTTTAACAATTTGGGTCGTTTATGATTTAGCAGTGTGCTTTAGGTACGTCCGATCTCAATAATCAATAATTTCAATGGAATCTGGTATTTCACTGAAGATTTTTAGATAAAAACATGTAGGATAATGTAACTGCTGGAATACATTTTTAATTGAAGTACAAATTGAAAAAATCCAATTTCATTGTTTTCGTAGGGTAATACATTTGATAGATTAATGATGACAAATATGTGCTTGCATATCTTTGAGGCCAAAATTATGAAAATCGGTTCGGTAGAAGAGCCAAACGATCTCGAAAAAACAAATATAACTCCCGTAAGTAATGTACATTGTACAGGGAGGCAGATTGTGCATAGCTCAAAATATACGTCAAAATGAGTGCTGATGCTTAATAGCAAATCTATGGTGCGTCCATTGCTTTAGTTTAAAGCCGGATTTACACTATGTAGCAAAACCTGCTATATAACTTTTGCTGTCTGAAAAATTTACAAACAATTTTAGTGATTCTGGTGCTCGTGCTATATGCTATATGTAGCACAACCTCATTCGCATTCCGTATCGAAATGTACGCTGAAGAGACATTGTTCGTGGCAGCTATCGTGGTGATATTGGATTGGTGTATGTGATAGAGAGAGACAGACGGGAGCGAAGATTTTAGCAAGTTTTAGGTTTGACCGCTTCTTGCTTTGAGAAATAAGTGCAGTGTAGCAGGTTTATTACGGGACCTTAATGATTATGAATACTCTGACTATCCATAATTAAAACGCTAAATAAGGCGACGGTAACTTCAAAAACGTTTTACGTATGATCACAACGCCGGTTGTCTACGGAACAGTTCAATTAAGTTTATAATATCATCAGGATCCTACGCACTGTCACTTTCCGTTTCCAGTCATTCCATTGTAAACCAAGATCGCTGAGCAAAACCGTTCGCACCTAGGAGGCTACAACTGTGAACTGTGTGCCCTAAATGCTACATATAGCAGATACTAGACAAAAAATGTATGTATATCATTGCTACATAATATCAAGTATATCAAGTGGTCCAATGCTGACCATAAAATAATAATAATAATCATTGCTACATATGGCAATGTTAGATGTGTAGCACATATTTCTTTTGATATTTACCGACTCCCGATGGATAGCACAATTTTAGTATATATATATATAGCAGTGTTATATGTCACTTTTGTAAAGTTACTTTTTCTACTTCTAGCAAATGTTATATAACATTGCTAGATGTTAAACAAATCTGCTATGTAGCAGGTTTAGCTACATAGTGTAAACCCGGCCAAAATTATGAAAATTGGTCTGGTAGAAGAGCTAACCCGACTCGGAAAAGAAAAACCAATAATTTTATATATAGCAATAATTGATTTACCTGTATGCATAATCTAATCATACGAAAAATGAGTTAATAATTTAACAGCTTATTGTTATATTTTTATTTAATTTATTTTCCTTTGATTAAATATTGTTGTTAACAATTTGAATTTGTGTTTAAAGTGTGTTTCTTATGTTAAGTGTGTGATTCTAATGTTATGAGCTTAATCTGTACCAAATATTAGTGAGTAAAGTGGTGTATGGATTTCATAACCATCATTTTACTAGAGACCGTTGTATTTAACCACAATGGGCTCTGTTGCCAATCTATTAAATAAATAACATTAGGTTTAACAAAACGAGTACCAAGGTTTGCTGCTACAAGTAAACTAATTAAGTGTGTTTTTAGTAAAATATTAATTGTTTAGTATAAAATAAATAAATCTGCATGGTTTTATCAAAATATATCCATAAACAAGGAAACTACAAATTTTTACCAAATTCTCCATAAGAATAACATGGGGATTTTAAATTTCCAATTTTTTGAATTCACCCCGTTGCCCATAATTGTACAAAAACCCTTTGATATACTTAACTATTTGTTTTTAAGCTCTTTAAACAGGTCTAGAGAGAAATTGGGAAATTTTACGTTTGAAGGTCAAAAATGAAAAAAACCATTTTAAAAGTATAAAATAACTTATAACTAAAAAACTTTTCAAATGCCACGTTTTTAAACGCACCTTTTTTCACCCATTGTGCATCACTGTTAACAGTATATTTTAAATTCAACCATTATATTCTTTTCCAGCATGAAAAGTTCTATAATTTGATACCAAACCAGATTTTTTAACAATAATTTAAAATTTTAAACTTTTTTTAATGGCGGCCAAAAAACCGTATTTTGCGTATTAGTACAAATGTATATTTTTAGTATGTTTTTTATAAGTGTATTACCTACCATTTCCAACTGGAATAATTTATGTTGCAATTAGTTCCACCTCAAACACTATTTCTACTGCACTAGTGGTAAAAACTAAAATTTGACCTATACAAAGTTTATACAGTAAAAAATTGTATATAAAAAATACAACATTTAATTTATTGTATTTTATTGTAAGCAGTTAACTTGACTCATAACTGAGATAAGTGGTGATGAAAATAACGTATAATGGCAATACAAATCTGTGAATTAATCAAAAATCGTCCACGACTGCGACTCCGACTGCTCAGAAGAAAAAAAAAATCGGACCATTAATAACAAAATGGCAGTTCAAAATTACTTTAAAATAACCATTGCCTCAATCAATTTTAGCTGCCATTTTGTTATTGGTCCGATTTCTATTTTCTTTATGTTATTTGTTATGTTTTGTCAAGACCTGTAAAATTATACCAAACTCGAGTATACTTGCTATTTGAAAATTTTGAGCTACCCCCTACCCTCGCTACTCCTAAGGCAAAATTTTCAAACCTGACCATAATTATTGTAGCCCTTCATTTCCAAACAAGTTGCCGCAAACAGATTTCAAATATCTCAAATAGTTAAAAAGCTAAAGAGGGTGCAAGTTAATTTTTTTGCCACCCTTATAGTTATTTGGATTTGAAACGTTTTTGGGCGCCATTTTGTTATTAGTGAGCCGATTTTGGTTTTCTTTATGTCAATGTTTATGTTTCGTCAAGACCTGTAAAATGATACCAAACTTGACTATACTTGTCATTTGAAAATTTTGAGCTACCCCCTACCCCCACTACCCCTAAGGGCAAAATTTTCAAAATTGACCATAATTATTGTAGCCCCTCATATCTAAGAAGGTTGCCGCAAACCGATTTCAAATATCTCA